GGGGCGATATGCTGACTCTGTAAACCGCTTAGAGGGGGCTGAAAGCCCTATGAAGCGGTATATAAGTCTAACTGCTATTGCTATTGCTATTGCTAGTACAGTGGCCGCTGCTTCCAACTACTACCAATATGGCTGTACCATGCCGTACCGGCTGAAACCCACCAGTGACTGGGTGCCTCAGTGGGCCGTTTTCCTTCTGCCTTTCTCCTTTTTCCTTTCTCCTTTCATAAATATGAGTCAGTTGCCAAGCATCTGAATTTCGATCATGTGACCACGGGGAGGCTGCAGCGGTTGTAAGGGTGAAGTCCCTTTTCTCAGTGATGTTGTGACTTTGGGTGGTCACTAAATGGACTGTCCTTTCTCCTCTTCTCTATTTTCCTCTCCTTTCCTCTTCTCCTCATCCCTCTTTCTCTCTTTTTCTCCAGCTGCAGAGATCAGTGGTGGCTTCGGGAGAAAATCAGGAACAAGCAGACTATCGGATCAGTCAGAGGTAAAGAGGGTGGACTTCAACTCCCAGAATTCCCCAGCCAGTAATTTCTTCCCCTTTTCCGTCTTCTCCTTCTCTTTCCTCCCCATCTTCCTTCCTTCCTTCCTTCCTTCCTTCCTTCCTTCCTTCCTTCCTTCCTTCCTTCCTTTCTTGCTTGCTTTTTACTTCCTTCTGGCTCCTTCCCTCTCCTCTCCCTTTCTCTCCCCTTCCTTCCTCTCATCCCTTCTTTCCTTCCATATTTCCTTTCTCCCGCTCTCCTCCTTCTCTTTCTCCTTTTCCTTTGTTTATTCATTTATTAATTAAATATACTGTGTACGCCACCCATCTCCCTGTCCTAAGACAGTGGACGGCTTAAAATCTTATTCTCCTTCCTTCTTCCATCCCTCCGTCCCTTCCTCTCCTTCCTTCCCCTCCCTCTCCTTCCTGCCTTCCTTCCTCCATCTCCTTCCTTTCTTTGTCCCTCTCTCCTCCTTCTCTTCATTCATTCATTCTTCTCTTCATTCATTTATTTATTAAATATGCAGTATATGTCACCGATCTCACTGTCATACGAGAGTGGACAACTGACAATCTCCTTCCTTCCTTCCTTCCTTCCTTCCTTCCTTCCTTCCTTCCTTCCTTCCTCTCCTTCCTTCTTTCCTTCCTTCGTCCCTCTTCTTCCTTCTTCCCTCCCTTCCTCTCCTTCCTCTCCCTCTCCTTGCTTGCTCCCTCTCTCCCTCTCCTTCCTTCTTTCATCCCTCTCTCCTCCTTCTTTTCATTCTTCTCTCCATTCATTCATTCTTCTCTTTATTAATGTATTTATTAAATATATGGTATATGCTACCAATCTCACTTTCGTATGAGAGTGGACAACTGGCAATTTCCTTCCTTCCTTCCCCTCCTTCCTTCCTTCTTTCATCCCTCTCCTTCCTCCCTTCCTCTCCTTCCTCTCCCTCTCCTTGCTTGCTTGCTCCCTCCCTCCCTCTCCTCCCTTCATCCCTCTCTCCTTCTCTTCATTCTTCTCTCCATTCATTTATTCTTCTCTTTATTCATGTATTTATTAAATATATGGTATTTGCTACCAATCTCGTTGTCATATGAGACTGGACAACTGACAATCTCCTTTTCCTTCCTTCCTTCCATCCCTCTCTCCCTCAATCCCTCCTTCCTCTTCCTCTCCTTCCTTCCTTGCTTGCTTCCTCCCCTTTCTCCCTCCCTTCCTCGCCTTCCTTCCTTTCTCCTTCTCTCTTCCTTCTCTTTCTCCTTTTCCTATTTTTATTCATTCATTTATTAAATATACTTTGCATTCCACCCATCTCCCTGTCGTAAGACGGTGGACAGCTGACAATCTCCTTCTCCTGCTCCAGTTCTGCTGCTGCCTTTGGAAAGAGCCCAAGTTCCAGCCACTCCTGGACGTTCTCCATGCATTCTTTCAAAATCTAACATTGTTTCTTACAATGCCTCTTTTCCCTTTCGGGGCCCTGAGAGGCAGAGCGCCCCTCAAAGGGGACGGTTGGATTTGTACCCTGATAGTAACCTGAGACCCCCCTCCTCCATGTGTGCCTTTGCCCAAATTCTTTCGCCGAGGTGAAAAGTCCATCATTTCTGAATTACCTTTTTCTTTCTCTTTCTCCAGAGGGACAAATTTATAAGCCCCATTAATCATTTCCCGTGAAGGTCTGTCTGAGTGGAAGGGAAATGACTTCAGACGGTCTCTTAAAATGCCAAGAAAGAGAGAGAATATATATATATATATATATATATATATATATATATATA